TGAGATAACAATCAATACTATTTAACCGTTTCCTGTTTCCAGATTCTTGTTACTTCTTTTTTAAGTAGTATTATTACTCTGATTAACTAAAATAGAAAACACGTATATTAAATTTTCAATATATTATATTAATATATATATTATGTATTTAACATTATATTTCGCGATATTTACAATTAACAACTATTATTGTCAGTACATGTACTTAGATGACCCCTACTCGAAATAAACGACAAAATATTTTTCTACAGTATAGCTGAACATTTGTGCGAAGAGCGATGTCGGTGCAAATATTTCGCGCCTTTATATAAAATAATACACATTGAAGAAAAAAGTAATATTTACTTGGGTACGATAAAAAATAGCTAGTTACGCCATTAGTTTGGTAAATGTTTCTTAGAGACCTAAGTAGCGAGAGCACTTGGAAAATATGGCATCGGCTAAAACAAAACAAATATTATATTTGGTTGGGCACTACAAACGTACGCGACGACCTTCAGTGTTACTCATATAACATTGTATCAAATTACAAAGCACACACATTATTTTAATGCAGTAAGTTTTTTTTGGGATTTCTTTTATCAAAAAGTTTATAGACATTATCTTAAGATTAAGTAGAGTTCATTTAGAAATAAGTATTATTGTCTATGAAATATAACAATAAGAAATTAAATATGCTTCAAATAGTACATAATTTTTTTTCGTTTTTAAGTTTTTAAGTTTTTGATGTTAAATGTTTCTTATCAAAATAGTGTAATTTAAGTTAATCTGAATAAAGGCTATAATAATTATTATTGTTAATGTCTATACTGTAAGTTTCAAAAATATATTTTTATTTAATAGTATTATAAATCAAATTTAGTAATAGTATTTGTTGAGATTTTGAAAGTTCTTCTAAAGTGAAGTAGATAAAACGTAGAGACAGTTTCTTAAAAAATCTCGTGCATACCAAGTGACAACAAATGTTTTCTATGAATAAAATTATTTTGATATTGAGATTTACCATGGACTTCTACTAACGAATTGTGAGCAGTTGACTTCAATATATGCAATGTAATTTGCATTTATCAGCAACAATGTGAAATTGGAATAATTTCGTTCATTCCGTGTATAAAATTACGACATTTATGTAACAACAAGAATTAATGTATAGGATAAAAAATTGTTATAAAAACATAATTTGCCAAGCAAATTACATAAATAATATTTCATTTACTTTCTGTCATTATTTTATTTAAAAAAATGAAGGCAGAGCGAAAATGAGAATTAATAAAACAACGCAATTTCACGGTGTCACTCCCGCACGACCTTCGCCCAATATAATTATGAATAATAAAAATGTCTACAAAAATAAAATGTCCAAGGCAGACAATATTCGAATAAAAAATGTATAATGACAGTGTTGAATGGAAAATAGCATTATTTGATTGTATAATTGAGACATGCGTAAAAATGTATATATTGATCGGTTTATCCGTGAACATTAAAAACATTATTGAAAACACGGGATAGTAATATAATGATGCAAGTTGAGACGATGTATGTACATATAGTAACATTTTAGAATTTACTGACACAAACAAAGAAATATACAATTGGCGAGCATAATGCCATAGTGCATTCTCTACCAGCTAACCATTGGTTAAAAACAGAAAGCTGTTGAAGGGCAGTAATGGAAAAGGCATACTTTTGGTATTTACATAACCTAGCATTTTAATAATTTACATTATAATGTTAATCTGCTATACTAAATAACATCACTTATATGTATACAGATGTGATAGGGTTTGCACAGTGCTTGGTATTCGATATTTAGATTGTCTTACTAGTTTTAATTAATTGCAAGTTCTTCTAAAGTGAAGTAGATAAAATGTAGAATTGCTAATACGATGATCTTCAAGGATCTATAATAAATATAGTGTGCCTGTAGTGTCACTGTCATATTTCACATTCCCATTTTCACATTTTATAAACAGTACTAACACAGCTTACAAAGGATGCTCATTGTTGGCAAAAATAGTAAAGATATCTGTATCCACGCAGGCGACTTTGCATAAAGACTACCTAGGTATCTCATCCTCAATGATTAAATTCACTTTTAACTGGACAGTAGATTTAAAATAATAATATTAAATATTGACAGCCATAAGTGTTAATGTATCGTACACGAATATTTCATTTTGAGTTTTCTCTTTGCGATGCGATAATTAAATTCATGGTTATCAATAATAATAAATAATTATTGTTGTTAATCTATACATAAATAAAATTGGAGTGTCTGTTTGTAATATTGAAATAACCGTTTTTTACTACATACATATGAATATAAATACGGTACATACACCAAAAAACATTTTTTAGAATTTTTGTCTATCTATCTGTTTATTCCGGCTAATTTCTGAAATGTCTACACCGATTTTGACGGGACTTTTTTGGCAGGAAGCTGATGTAATAAGGAGTAACTTAGGCAATATTTATTTTAGAAAAATAAAGTTAAATTCCACGCGGACGAAGTCGTGGGAACACCTAGTAAAAAATAAATTCCACTGATGTGCAGCGAAGTTCTGATAATTATTTCCATCCGCTGTGAAATGCCCCTCGAAGTTTATAATAATCTATAACAGTAAAAGAATTATAACGTAACAAGAAGCGACAATTATTATAACATTCCTTTGTAAGTATTCGATTAAAAAGTCAACGACAAATAGACAAAACTTTTAAGTGTCTACTTTAGATTTTTATTAGTTAAGTTCTCTAACTTAATCTTGTTACACACCAATTATTTTAGAATCTATAAACTGGTACTTATTACTTATATGGACATATTATAAAATAAGTTATGAAGATGTCTGTAATATCACACAACATGTGCAATATCATATTTAAGAATACCGAAACATTTTTGATTTCCATGTTAGATTTGTTAAAAGTTATCACTTTTTCTTATTTATTCTAATATCACTAACCTTCGTTTGGAGAAATATCGCTAACATATAACAATATTTAAATAGTCACGAAAGTAAATTTTCCAGTTTCTTTATTAATTATTACTCCTATCGTGACGTTTCTAACATTTGGAGGACGATGTAGTCTCTCATGTATTTCACTCTATCATAGTATTCGGGTCAAGTGAACAAAGTCACGAGAATAAGCTAGTAATATCCAAAAAGTAGTCTAAATATTATTTTCTAAACTTTCATTACTTCATTTTGTACTAAGTAATTTACATAGTTGATTGACGGTAATTTTAAATTCAAATTTTCTATAATGAAATAAGTAACAATGTAGGTAAATATTTTAGTGAGTCCAAACTGTGATAATAGTTCTAAATTAGTTCAGATATTTATAGGTGAACATTGACTGATCACACTACTGGATATAGCTACTCGTACTAAAGATCAGCCTCTCCCAGTAAACCTATATCGGCGTGTTCATGTAGGCAGCATGACGTCACGCGGGCTCTGAAGTGATGTTCACTTACACGTGATTGGTTTTACGAAGTTTCCACGCGAACGGACTGGTATAATAAAGTTAGCGTGTTAATCCATACGGGTATAGCGGCATGTTAAATTTGGGTAGACATTCATACCCATTTTTAAAATGTAAAACCTCATACATGTAAATATAATGAATATTGTCATTTTTTTCCAAAGTCGAGTCGCAAATTGGATATAGAAACAATAACGGTCGGAATTTGATCACTATTAATTTATTTATCAGAAGATTCTGTCAGAGGTCAAGTTTCCACACTGAACATTAGTGGTCTAACACATGCTAATTGTAGCGGAATTAAACTAAATACTATAAATCTATTAAGTAGTGAAATGAACTTCCGCAAAATAGCACCTAATTCGATTAAAAAGGTATATATACCTATATAGGCCACGGTTACCACTTCCCATTAGAATATGACACTAACTTATTTTGCAATTCTATTTAAATTAAAAACTTACAAGTATATTTTTCAAACTTTAAACTGCCATTGAAACGACGTGAAGAATTTACAAAGTGTTGAAATTTTTATACAGACGAATCAATTTTCCAAAACCAAATTCATCTGTTTTTCGCTTATTTCTGTATTCGTATCTAAGATATGTGCCAATTACAGATTTTCATTGACAGTAATAGTACATTGTCGTGCCTCAATAATAGGACCGGAAAACAGTTATAGGAACTTTGTTGTAAGACAATGTAACTCAATTTAGTTAAGGTTCGCTCGATTTATCTCGATGAATACTTGGCTGACAGATATAGATCTGTACTTGAAGAATACTTCAAGGTTTTTTTTTACTATTTTAAACTGTGAGTACATTATGTAGCCACTACTTTAATTTAGAAATAAGGATGACATAATTTTACTAAGATTTGTAAGTAAAAGAACTTGATGGTTTACTATCACTACTCAATCAAAGGATTCTAGTTCAAATCTGGCCAAAACCAAAAATCCTGTCAATATACATACATATAGACTAACAGATTCTTTGGTGACGGGAATAGATACTTACGCAGATCAAATTTCAATCAGAGACTGCGGTAGCCTTATTCCCCACTACTTGAAATTCAAATTTGCTCACCGAAATGTTGGCATGTCAAGTGTTGCGTTCATGGTGACATCTTCCTGACTTGACAACTCATTTGACTACCCTCATAGTATAACAGTATTTTACTATACTAGCGGTACCCGCGGTTTCACCCGCGTAAAATTTATAGCCCATGTGTTGTTCTAATATATGACATATATTACAGGAAAGTTTCATTGTAATCCGATCAGTACTTCATCTGCATCTCACATGATATTTATCATCATATTTCGCCGAATTTACATAATATCTATTTAAATTATAGCCTATGTGTTATTCTGATGTATAAGTTTCATTTCCGTAAAGTTTTATCAAAATCCGTTCGGTACTTTTTGCGTGAAAGAGTAACAAAAGTTCATCCATACTCAAAAATTTTTGTTTTTAAAATATTAGTAAGATAACAATTTTCTTTTCTTACAGTGTCATCAGCCCAACGAGAGCTTGGCAAAGGAACACCAACCAATGCCTCAGTGACGGTGGCCCCAGCCGGTTCAGCGGATAATGCTATTCGGTCAGGGGCAGCCCCCGCGGATGCTCCGCGGCCTACACCTCGAACAGGGCCGTACTTCGACCTTGTGGCATCTAAGAATGTTACAGCTCTCCTTGGCAAAACGGCATATTTGAATTGCCGAGTCAAGAACTTAGGAAATAAAACTGTGAGTAGCTTTAAATTATCCCAGTAATATCCTTTTTCGACATTTTTTTATATAATATGATTGACCAATAAGCTAATGAATCTGTAATGCATTTAATACCACTAATGCGTTGACATTCTGGAGGCCTAAAATTTCATGTTCTTATCTGTAAATTCACTGCCTTGTTTCACCTTTTAACAAAAAATACACCTTACAAAGCAAGCAGCTTGATGATTGAAATATTTGTTTATGAGATGAGGTACCTACGCAAATGACTTTTTGAAATATTTGTAGGTTTCATAGATTTATCTATATTTTTACGCACTTATTAGATTTAACATTATACAAAGATATGTATAGAGTTTAGATATATTTAGATACGACAATCTATATCAATGTCGTAGATGATAAAAAGGTATGACTTAACCTTTGTATTTCAAAGCAAAACCTTCAGTCATATCTATTTTTAACTACTTTCCTTTCATGTAATATTATCTCTTAAAATTTATTCGTACTTTGAGGTATTATGGACTTTTTGTGAACAAATCTTTGTGGTATATAATTATTATGGAAGCAGAAATAGCTTGAAAGTTTATATATAATATTTTTTTAATTATTTTTCCATTTTACTATGTTAGCTTTTGTAGTTAACATGTGTTTTAGACAACGTATTTTTGTATTTATATATGTATTTTTTTATAACCTCTTTATTATTACCTGTTGAGCGGATCTTACACTGCCATAATATATTGTTATTATATAGACGGACGGACAGTCAAACTGACGTGTAAATATTGCAGTATTACAAAGTTTTAGTTTCATTGGCTTGGGTGCGGAACTATAAAAAACATCACGTAACCTAATTGGACGACAATATAAAAGAATGGTAGATGCAACATTGTTCGGCATATACAGTGTGCAAATAAACTGCAAATGCTTATTATTATTTATTACTTCACAACGTCTAGGTCATTAAGGTTTACTACCTTAAATTACGTACATCCAGAGATACCAACCGCCCTAGAATCACTACATAAGTCTGAGATTTATGATCATCGGCACATGGAAGAACATTTTCATTCTTGTACAAATTTCTACAAGATTTTAACCAACGAAATTTTTTACGACGGACTTCACGAGAGATTTCATCTGTTCTATGAAATATAGGTATATCAAGTGTTGCGTTCTCCACCACTATGTCAGTTGGCAATGCCTCTGGCTATCCTATCTCGGAAACAGTCGTGATTATATGTACTTTAGAGAAATTAATGAGGTCTATTGTAGTCAGAAATGCGAGGTTATGAATATGCAAGAGTCATGTAAGGAGAGGCTACCTGAATAAGCCGTGCCCATACGCACTGACCTATATTCAAGCTATTCTTAACTGAAAATGTTATCACATTCATATGACTGTGATAGCAGTTTTATTATATATATATATTATATTATTCCTATATTATATAGGAATAATATAATATATATATATATATATATGAATATTACTTTATTAATGTTGAATAAATAGCATTGTTTTGCAATATAAATTGATGTCGCTATAAAACAATAGGGTTTGAAGGGTGAAAATTTAGGCTTGTATGTATTTTAATGCCACATTATAAAAATATAAAATAAAATTGTCCAAAGTTAGGGGTGGACAAGCCTTATCACTTAGGTATAAGAAAAATGGATAATAGCCGATTCTCAGAGCTGCTGACTACGTATATAAAATTTGATAAAAATCGAAAATGATACGAGAATAATTTATATAAGATGTATACAATACAGAAAAGAAACATGTGACATCTTGTCATATTATATATATATAAAAATATATGTATTTTATTTATAAAGGTAAAGACAAATTCGTATTTCATTGAGGGCCATGTTTTAAAGTTATAATGACTTTGGCGCGTATTTACTTTTAGGTTAGCTGCTCCCTATGGATAACAAGATAAAGTTGTTGAACCTGAAACTAAAGCCCTAATTAGACTTAGAACTTCTTTTAATTACTTAATAGTGTTACATCTACTTAGTTTTCTATATATATATATATTCATCATTTTTATATGCATGACCATCAAGATGATGATGAATAAAAATGCTAGCTACGAACGTAATATAATATATAATATTTTTTCCTTTCATCTGCATAAAAATACGTGTATACATTCCAGTAATTGCGATCACGCAAGGAGCATTCCACCGTTTATAAGTTATTTTGCCTCTGTTATTACTGTCGGTCTTGTTTTCCTTAGTTCGCAGCCTGTAATTATCTTTCGACGATATCCTTCATTTTGAAATAACAGAACTTCGGCCATCTTTGTTTTTATTACATTTTTGGTATACAAATTGTACGGTATTCAATAGTAGGGCTTTTCCTGTAAGACCTTCGCCGAAAGCCTTAGAGGACTAAAAACATTATTCTTTAGACTATGAAAAACATACTGTGTTATATTATGATTATATTAATACGTAAAGCAAAAAGTTAGTAAAACTTTTACGAAATTGCGCGAATGAAGGGTGTATGAAATTTTGCGCACTTATAGTTTATATAGACAATATTTTTTAAATCATACGTAAAAATATATGAAATCTATAAAAAAGCAATACACACATTACCATGTATTTTACACAAACATTACACATACGTTAATCAAGTTCAAATTTATAATTTAAATTAACTATGAATTTCGACCATTGGACGACCATGATAAAAATCTCTAACCTCATTTTTATCATTAGCAACTAAATTAGAATCAAGATGAATAATAAAATTAAAGAGAGTCTAACATGTGTCAAAAAGATTAGTAATAAAAGAATTGAAAGATTGTATTTAGAAATGAAAGTTTATTCCCAAACTATTACATAATGCAGATTCGGTTAATGCTTATTTTAGACTATGAAAACCTTGCATAGAAACGCAATAATGGTTACTGTTACAAACTATTTATATATTATTTTATAGTTTGTTTTTTTTCTCGTCTCGTTATTTTTACTGCACCTATTTATAAATCTATAAATAAAATATTAACATTAGGTATTCGAATACTTCTTCTATTTTATTTCTAATATTATATGACTGAATATTTCATTCAAAAGGAATCATTTTTATTTACTAATCCATAAAATTGTTCAAATTAATTACCGTTCAGAATAAAAGCTGAAGTCTGAAGCTGAAATGACGACGCCTAATTGATATAGATTGAAAGCGGTGTAAGCGTCCTTTTTTTAACAACGTAACGAAAAGTTTTACCGGTTTCAACGTTGGGAAATAAAACTAGTGTTTTAGTACTAGTATTGTTGTGATGGGGTTCTTCTGTCTTGAGATAGCATGTGAGATGTTAAATAATAAATAATATGTACGTTTGCAGTAGAATTGTATTGTCTTTTCTTATAATATTTTTTACAACAATGTCAATCTATATTTGACAACTAAACTATTATAAAATAGTAATCGGTGAGGAGGCAAGTATATTATTTAATTAACAACCTCTAACTATAGATAATCTGAACTATCATCGATTGTTGTTAATATTTTGCTTAAGGGTAGCTCAGAATGAATAAGCTAATTACTGACAGCAGAGTTAATTATACGCATTGTAATGTACTCCAAGTATTAATGTTAAGTGAATAATTTCGCTTTCAATATTCAACCTGTCAATTTAGATTTCATGTCAAAATCAATTGAACTTTGCTTAGGCTGATACTGTAACGCAAACTAACATACTATAGTATATAATATATGCGGACGTTGAACATAAGGACAGTGTCTACAAATTTACACACTACTGTATTATATTTTTACTACCTATATAGTTATTACATTATCTTTTCTGTTTTTATTGAAAATAACCATGAACAATCGACAATTATTTCTCGTATAAGAGCCACTATTAATATAAGAATTAAACAAAATAATATAAGTATAGCAGACGGTGAAATAATTTCAATTAAACTGGATTCTGTACTGCTCGACGCACTTGCTGCAAGCACTCGCTTTTATAATACAGATATGCGAGAGTTGAGTACACGCTAACACTAACGAGTCCCCCTTATTTCAACAGTCAACAAGCAACGTCCAATTTACGTAGGGGTGTACCACAAACTCCTCGCTTAAAATGAAACGTAACAATAGCACAATGCAACTTTAAAGTCCCTTTTGTGAGCTCAACTTTATAAATAAAAGTCTCATTAGACCGCGATGCCATATCTTTCGCATATATAACAGGACGGGCTAACGAGATAACTCTGTTTCTTTCTAGCTAGAGTAATGTGCGGGAAATGGAAGCTTAACAATAGAGGATACGTTAATTAATGTAATTGATTTCACAATTTATACGGTCACTGTTATTTAAGTTTGTAGTTATGCTATTATTTAAATAAAGATATGAAATTTTACTAGCTGTTACGACGACTTCGTATGCTTTTTTTTTTGAGAAAAATGATAGTCAATCTCTCTTCTTGTGATAGGTACAGACTATAGTCTAGTCAAGTTTTGTTACAATCCGTTCGCTATTTAGTTTAACTGTAATAGTCGATAGACATACAGACACACTTTCGAATTTATAACAGTATGGATGCCTTAAAGAAGTAGTTCTTTCTAATATCTAAGTCCCTTTCTAATATCTAAAGAGAAAGAACTTAACGATTATTATGCTTCTATTATGACTTGAAGTATTGTTTGGTTTTATAATTTTATGTTGTCATTTAAAAGAGTGCGTGTTACAAAATAACACGCAACTATTAAACAATTCTTAATAAAAAATAAAAGTAAGTACTTTGATTATGGAAGCACAAATGTTTGAACTAGTTATGCTAATGTTTCAGTTTTGAGCACACAAATACGCCATTAGTAGGCTCACATTTTCTCTATTGATTCTGCACTCGCTAATGAGATGTGCTGTCTGTGCATCTAATGTTTTGCTATTGAATATTTTGCAAAAGGTACTATTGTGTTGTGAATATTTAATATTTAATACTGATGATTGGTGGAGGAATATTATTATAATAGTGAAATAAAAAATGGTTAGAATTGATTGTACACTGAATTTAATAGTGACGTTAAGAAATATTCGAGAGAATATTATATTAAAAGAAATGTATAAAAAGAAAAATAAAACAACAAATGTTTCATGCATAACGTTCCATATTTGAATTTTATAAATGTATTATTTGACTTATTGCGATCACAACACAATGAAAATTGTACATTTTATAGTAATTAATTTTAATTGAAAATTACACCATTTACACGTGCATATTATGTACACATTAAGTGTTTTTTTTGTAGATAACTTCAAGCCTCTGTTTCCTTTACTTATACAAAAGTATATGAATATTTTTAGATAATAAAAATATTCATATACTTTTGTATAAGTTGACTATGACTCATTTTGAAACTTTACGAGTTGAGAGTCTATTCCTTTTTAAATTTTACTTACTATAGAAATTAAAATTGACTAGCTAGCTAAGAAGAACATTCTTACTTCATTCTCATAGTTTTCAGGAATTTACGCTATTTTAAAACTGTAAAACTAAAAAGATAGTAATTTCCCTGGGTGCAGAATTTTACATTAGTCTTCATTTAAAACAAATTTGAAATGAGGGTTTAAAATATTAGTAGATAGGTAGGTATAATAGTACTTAGTTTAAAAACATTCAAATAGGGATATTGGTGAATCTCATTATGTATGTATTGTATTTTGACCCCATCATGTCAACCTGTCTCTATACACTGCTGAATATTAGTCTTCCTAAATGCCTTCAATCGTGTTTAACTCTTCACCTTCTGCATCTGTTTTCTACATACGTCTAAATTATTTCAGCTGTGAGCTATGATAAAAAGTATCTCGTTAATTTATTTGCGTCAAAATTGTAATTCGATTGAAGCTAATAATTATTAATAACACTCATTGAATTACATATAAATAATTTTCTTTCTATTTCTTAGACAAACCTTAGCTTCGAAGAGTAACAGTAAGGACACTTCATTAGTTTATAAGATTATTTGTAAATCTAACAATATCTACTTAGAAACTATCTACACTGTACTTTTAAAGTAAATATCCAAATTCAATATCAACTTGAATCCGCCTGTAGTTCCGCTTCAAAGCTTTAATACTCTCGTAGTATTCGTAACAAAATGCCACGTTGAATATTACTAACAATTCACATCTCCCACGGACGAGCCAGCAAAGTTTTGATTGAATTTATAACAATTTCGATACCACAATTAAATTTGCAACGTTTGTTCTAAAACGTAATATTCTTGCCGTCTTTTATAAAACACCACGGTTAATGAATTATATTTCATAATCTGTAATGTCAAATAATGTTGTAATATAAATGCGAAAAGATAAGCAGGTTGAGTTTGTAACAATCTTCAAGTCCTATAAATTTACAGATTAAAAAAATGAATTTTAATGCATTAAGTGAAAAAAAACAAATTTGAAACAAATTTCTACTGAGTCTCCTGAGCAATATAGTAATAATACATGGATATCATCATATTAAGATTAAATCTCCTAAAAATTAATTAGTAAAAAAAAACATATAGTAGCGAAATTCCCCACCGAGCCACCTGGCTAGTATGGTAATAGTAGACTTACATTATTCCATTAAAATATGTAAGAACATATAGTTTGTAAAAATATACAAGTCGTAGAATTCTATAGAAAATAAAGTAATATTTTGATTTTGTATAATAAAGTCATTTCAAAACAAGCCAAATGAAAACAAAGCTAAAGAGGCATTCATAGTTCTTTGTGTATTCTAACGCAAACTAAAATAAGCTTTACTTGTAGAAATAATATTTGCATTACTTCAACGTCTGACTACATTGTTTTAAGATCTAAACCCGAAATAGATTTCAGGGCTTTTGTTGTTCCAAAAATAAACTTTTATAATTTTCTGACATCTTATTCAAAATCAAATATCAGATAATGTGAATAATTTCTTAGCTGGTTCTACAATATCGTGTACCTAAAACATTATATTACCGAAAAGATCCTATTATTAGTAGAGTTTGTTTTCAAACTATTAGGGGTACACACATTTTTTGCTCTCAGCTAATCCTTGTTCAATTTCAAACGACTATCGAGATAGACTTTGCTGTAGAAGATCATCTTCTTATACCTCCATCTCACCTGTTTCAACCACAAAGCAATTTGCTATAATATTATGTTTCTATAATATAATATAATATATTATAATAGTATGAACCTGAAAATAAAGCAGTAAAGTATAAGTGGGTATATCTAATTAATAAAAAAAGCGACAGGCGTTTATAAAACATGTTAGTCCTGTAAAAAGGACAATTTGGCAATATCCAAATAGATAACTCGTGTACCTATTTGGAATATTCTGGAGTTAGAATAATGTATTTTATAAGCCTAAAATTACTTTGTTATATTCTAAAATTACTTTGTTCTAGTTAAACATGCAAGTGTCATGGGTGAGGCACCGAGACATTCACTTGCTAACTGTGGGACGATATACGTACACGAGCGATCAGCGCTTCCGGGCCATACATTTGCCCCATTCTGAAGACTGGACTTTACAGGTCAGTTGTATTTTCTATTACTTAACCTAGATACTTATATTATTTTAGCTTCTATAGCATAAAGAGATAATTTCATTACGAAGGCTAAAGGTCAATTAATGTTGTTTAATTAAATTGCTATTTTTAATTTCATTTTACTTATTTCATTGTTAAAATCACTGTATATAAAAATACATGTGTATTTAACATAAATGTTCTTCTATAATTTAATATTTACAACTTATTCATAAAAGACCACATTTCAATTAAGTATACTATGTTCTTTTTTCCTATCTCTCGTTTTGAAATGAAATATACGCAATAAAATACTAATATAATTTAATTTGTTGGTATATTTTTATGAAAATAAATCATATTATTATGCTCATCAGACTAGAAAATTGGGTACGTTCCATTAATTTCCATAAAGAAAATTTAAATGTATCTCAGTCCTTAATATATACTATTTTGTTTCAGATTAAATATCCCCAACATAGAGACTCCGGCATATATGAATGTCAAATATCATCTACACCACATATGAGTCATTTTATACATTTGAACGTAGTTGGTGAGTGTTGTGACTATTGTTATGCGAATATACATATATGTGATTGGTATAGGGCAATAGTCATCGTTATTTTTATACAAATGATCTAGATATCATCATAAGAATGAGACAGGTGACAATCAACAATAGAAACTGCTGCGAACTAATTCTTTTGATCTTCGATTTATTATTTCTAATAAATACAATAGTTATACATACTGAAAAGTGGTTTGAAAATTAGCTACTAAAACGAAATGCATAATTGGTAATTAATGAAATATTTATTAGAGACTCAAACTCAAATCCTATTACTCACTAAACATTTTTATTTTAAAACGATATCTTGCCAGTTCAATTGGATCTATATACCGAACTGGACAGTAGGGAAAAATTAAAATTATAATGTAAAAATTAGACGTTCAGAAGCGGCTAAAATGTTCTACATGAATAAATGATTTTTGAATTTGAATTTGAAAATACCCAAAATTATTTATTAGCATAGAACCTTTAGGCACTCATGTGTACGTCATATTTTTTATGACTATCCATACCATCTAGTTCGACTAGTAAGTTCAGTTAAAAAGAATTGGCATCAATTAAACTCAACTGATACCTTTTTTATGCTTTTTTAAGTTACTATTATCGAAGTTAGACATTCTGAATTTTCAGTAAAAGCCGTAATCCTAAAATTTTGTATGACATTTTAGACTAAAATTGTGGACAGTATCTGGACATATAAATAAATTAAAAATTTATATAGAAATAATACCTTCTAATGGAAACGTAATCATTATTCAACTACCACAATGACTACATATTTCTTGTTAGATAATCAATAAGTAAACCAGTAAATGTATACTTGATATACAACAGACTTAATGAAAATGGACAGCTGTTGTTCTTTAATATAAAATGCCTACCTTTAATAATAATTTAATAACGCTCAGTCATTAAATTCAAGGTAGTAGCTTGTAAGGAGTTTATTTTGAATATACAAAAACTTATTAACTTTCAAACGATAACGTAAAACGTTGTTTATGTTCGGGTTATATCTAAGTCGTTTGCGTCACAAGAGTTCGTTAAGTTGGTATTGTTTACATTTCTCGTGTTTGTGCAAGTCGGTTAATTAAGTATGGCATGTAAGGGACAAGCACGCGTGTTTGTTATGGGGACCTCGGAAGAATAATAAAAACATCTCTCTTTACAAGCATTAATTACTCATCGAAATTTCAACCCCTCTTGACATTTAAGTATAATAAAGCCGAAATGGAGGTTTTCTACCACTTCGGTTATTTTCTAGCGATGGGGGAAATATAGGTTAGAAATAAATTGAAGTTAAGCGTTAGAAAGAGTAGAAAGTGCATCAGAATCTTTGCCTCTTCGATATACAAAGAAAAAAGAACTGTGCTATCCTGGCAACCTAAATACATGAATGGGAAGTGATGAAAAAAAGAACAACAATTAATATATTTCCTCTACAGATTTCTTTTTATTGAAATAATTTTTATTCACAATTCACATTCTAGTTGAATTTTGAATAAAAATTTGTGCCGGCAATGAGGCTGTGACCTGGTAATACGCTAGTAGAATACCATTTTTTGCATTGCATAAGAATTCCAAATTTTTATCTGTCGTCTATTATAGTAAAAATTATCAAACCTCTTTGGGTAAAAAAAATCGTAAATTGTATTATCGGTAAATAGAAACAAACATATTTTGAATCGTTCATCGTTTTAAATTTAAACGAAAGTTTTAATGTTCTTTTTATGTTTTTAAGTGTAATTAACTCATAATGAGTGGTCAGGTTTCCGCACTGAATGTTTGTGGTTTCACACATACTAACAGTAGCTGAATAAAATGAAATTATATATATCCATTAAGTAATATTGTATATTTGTTATGGGCAAATTTATTACTTAACTTATTCTATTAGTTGTGTAGTAACTATAACATAAACTACCTGATTTGTGACTAGATAGCGCTGTGTGAATTGTCCTGGGTGATAATCATTATTCTTTCTCACAAAAAAATATACTCATCCGGGTATAACTAGTGCAGGATTCGAATGAAATTTAATACATAGTTAATACATATGCTGGCGGCGCGGGTGAAATAAATATTGTTTGATTTTGATTTAAGTGGACTGTATCTAAATAATCTGACGGGTACGTGGATTGACACGATACACTGTTAGGTTGGTGATTGAGAACTGCTTGTGAGGATGGAACACAAAGAAAGACAGTTCTGGTAAGGAAGGAGGCACAGTACCTTTGAATTGTAGGTTGCAGTGCGGCGGCTATCGGTGTCTCCAGGTCCCAGCTACTTGCTTCACAACAATGGCACAAACACAATGGTCTTAAACACACTAGAGCGATGCGGTGGATTAAAATGTTTAGTAATTATCACGAATTACAAAAAACTTGATCTTAAGCGCGATCAAGGCGGGAATTCAATGTCAACTTCAGCGTTCAATTTAACAGTGACGCGCGAGCGCGATATGTCACTTTCGATACAAGCGAATCTTCTCGCTCGCACTTAAAACAAAGGTATGTGCGGGAATAGGAGAGGATAAAGGAATTAGTGTAGTGCCAATCCTTAGAAAATTAACGTTTCGTACCACGCTAAATTATTTATTTGAACAAACTATTACTAATAATAATTATACAATGATAAACAAAAATGTAATGTTATATGGCGCAACCATTCCCCCCCGCCTTGAAGGGACGCCTTCAAAGTAAAAATAGAAACTTAAAATAAACTAAACCTTAACCTAGAACTCGTATTAACTAAAACTAATGTCTAGGTAAGGGGCACAGACGTACAACCGGATGCAAATAAGAGCCGGTTGCAGTTTTTACACGAACAACCCGAATTACGCCGTCAGAAGCCGGAAAGACCTCTTCAATAACCCCTAAAGGCCAATGAAGTGGTGGCGCGTTTTCAGTACGTACAATTACAACAGTTCCGACAGTAATCTGATTGACGGGCGTATTCCATTTTTCGCGAGATTGTAATGTGTGCAGGTACTCCGCTCTCCATCGCTTCCAGAACGTTTGCACTAATCTGTCTAGTAATGCGTGGCGTGAAATCAAAGAACTGTCAGCTATTTCTGCGGCGGGCAAATATTTCAACGGAGTAAAATTTAAAATATGTGCGGGTGTTAATAATTTTGCGAAACGACAGACATAAACTACGCAGCGAAGAAGCTTGAACCAAGAAGAAAAGCGATTTACCAGAGCGATGAAAACAGATTCTTCTGGCGGTGTGCGAGTAACAAAGGAGAGTTTCTTCTCCTCAGGCGGGTCCATAACAGCAGAAGAATTGAAAGCGGTGACTGGCCATTCCGAAAAGGTGGATTTAGCCCACTGCGGGCCGTTGAACCATAGGGGGTGGTGAATTATTTGGGCAGGAGTAAGCCCTCGCGATAGACAGTCGGCTGGATTGTCCGAACCAGACACGTGATAAAAATTGTGCGGTGAAAGCAGAGATTGAATTTTAGAAACTCTATTCGCGACAAAAGTATCCCACCTGTGGGGCGATGCGTGGATCCAACATAAAGCAACTGTTGAATCAGAAAATGCGTGTATTGCCTTAATTGGATAGCGGTTGTTAACAGCGGTAACAATATTATTAATTAAATTAGCGAGCAAAAGCGCTGCGCAAAGTTCGAGTCGGGCCAACGACACGACCTTGCGGGGTGCAACCTTAGATTTTGCACTTATAAGATGCACAGTACTCACACCATCATTCTCGACGTGGAAGTACACAACAGCACCATAAGCCTTTTCACTAGCGTCTGCGAAGCCAATGATGTTCACCACACTGCGTTTTGTGATGTCAACATGGCGCTGTAATTTAATTTGATCTAGACTGGGGAGCTCATCCCTGAAACGTGACCATTGTCTGACGATAACGTCAGGGGGGGCGTCGTCCCAATCGCAGTTGCATAACCATAACTCTTTGACAAGAAGTTTGGCAAATAATATAACGGGTGCTACGAAACCCATTACATCCCACAATCTTGCGACACAAGATAAAATGGTGCGTTTTGTACACTTTTCAGCGGGCGTGCAAATTTTTAAACTAAATAAATCTGAGCTAGGAGACCAGCACAGACCCAGAATTTTATGCGTATCAGACACATCGAATTCTACGACCGATGAAAGTCGATGTGTTGACGGAATGGAATTTAAAACTACTTGCGAATTGCTCGTCCATTTGACAAGATCAAATTGTCCGGCCTTCATGAGTGAGATGATCTCAGCAGCTGTGACGATAGCCTCATCTTCACTATCTAGACAATATACTAAATCATCCATGTACAGACCGGTGTGAACCGCTTCCTTAGGTTTTGGGAACGATTCGCCTTCGTCGGTGGCTAACTGCTTAATAGTACGCAGTGCAAGAAACGGACTCGATTTGAGTCCAAAACAAACGCGATTAAACTGATAAACCTGGAGAGGTTCGTCAGGCGAAAATCTATACAATATGCGTTGAAATCTGCGGTCACTCTCTCTAATACGAATGCAAAGAAACATTTGCCTAATATCGGCAGAGAGAGCTACTGAAAATAATCTGAAGTTAACTATAATATCAAATAAATTGCGTTGTAAATTCTGTCCATTATAAAGAAGATCGTTGAGAGATACGGACGTGCTAGTTTTAGCGCTAGCATTGAGTACGACGCGCAATTTAGACGTGAGTTTATCTTTTCGAATAACTCCATGGTGCGGTATTATATACGAAGGAGCATTACTATCATCATTAACGGGTGCGGGTGAAATATAACTCTTATCTAAATACTCCGTAATGACGTCATCATAGGCTTGCTTGAGTTCAGGCGAAGCCTGCATTTTGCGTTCGAGACAAAAGAAACATTTCTCGGCTAATCGACGCGAGTCGCCAAGAGAATGTGCATTACCCTTGAAGGGAAGCGCGACGGTATAACGACCGTCGTCCTCGCGAGTGGTAGTGCCAGCATAAATAGCTTCACACTCCTTGTCGTCCGGGCTGAGAATCGGTGCAACATTCACCTCTTCCATTTCCCAGAATCTACATAGAACGGATTCCATCGTGGGTTCGGTAACACAACAATGCGCGGTGGTAGTGTAATTACAATTATCTAACATATTAGACACGGAAGTATCGGTATTTGATCTAGCGGGAGCTGAACCTACAATAACAAAGCCTAATACGGTCTCAATAGCATACGGCGAGACGTATGTGGGTTGACCTTTAACCTTACGGGACAATATTAAATGCGGGAAAATTGAGGCACCGATTAACATGTCAATGTTCCCAGGAGTAGCGTAACTATCATCGGCTAAAGGCAAATTTTTAAAATTTGAAAATAATGAAATATCGACACTAACAGTCGGTAAACGTTCGGTTATTTTATCTACAACTAAGGATTCCATATCAAATTTAATATTACGATTAAACCGTGAAAAGAATTTTATATGTACAGAACCCTGTGTGGCCTTTGTTGTCCCTCCTATACCTTTAATCGAAAAGGTTGTATTCTGTATACATTGCAATCCCAAGCGATTACAACAATCCCTAGTTACAAAATTACTTTGAGAAGCACTGTCCAATAATGCTCTAATATAATGTTCGTTACCGTCTCTATCGATCATTAAAACACGAGCGGTGGCTAACAATACTGTAGTATGTACGCGAGGCATATTTTTATTAACATTGTCTGATAACGTGCATAATGCTACGTCTTCCGATGCGCGGGATACGACGGGTGTCGGCGGGGGTAAGTGCGGGGCGCGGTCCGTGCAAGGAGCCGGTCGGCCGCCGCCGCCGCCACCAACAGCGGGCTGCGTGTGCGACGAGTGCGACGATAGATCCACTGCGCGTGACGTAGTCGCTGTGACCGAACTACCACTGAGTATGTTCGCGGTGGAGGTGGCATTACTATGCTCAAAGTGGAGCATAGTATGATGTTTTGAGTCACATTTGTGACATCGACTATTTGAGTTACAATTAAATACACGGTGATTTTTACTTAGACAATTAATACAGTAAGAATTAGATTTAACAAATCGGAAACGATCATTAGGCGTTAAATTTCGAAAACCTGGACATTTATATAAATGTTCATGTTGTATGTTACACAATGAGCACTTAGGCTGCGGATTAGCGGTTGTAGTATAAGAGTATGTAGATTTATGTTGCATAACTTTCGATGCCGCATCCATACGACGATCGACAACTTTCTTAGTAACTTCTTGGTTGCTTGAAGAAGTGCGTTGCAATATTTTAATGTGATCGCGCACAAATGACACTAATGTATCGAAAGATGGGATGTCGGATCCCCGTTTATCTAGTTCGAAAGCGCGGGCGGTTTCGGAATCTAATTTCTTTAACGCGGTATACAAAAATATAAAATCCGAAAGATTATTAATTTTTAAGTTATTTAACGCGGATACTGAAGTTGCGAATTTATCGAGAAATTGTTCTAAATTATTTATATTTGATGAATGAAAGGGCTTCATTTCGAATATTTGATCTAGGTATGATGATGCGAGCAGTCTCTTATCTTCATACTTACTAATTAAAGCATCTAAAATGACCTTATAATTTTCAGAACAAGGGTTTATACCGGCAAATACAGAACGAGCTTTACCTGTCAGTTTACCCATCAAATAATGTAATTTTTCCGAATCTGACAATCTAGGATTGTCATGAACTATGCTTTTGTAAGCTGTATAGAATAAAGACCAGGATCTCAGATCTCCTGAGTATTCCGGAATTGGTAGGGGGGCAGACGAGGCCTGTCCTCATCCCTATTATGCTGATGATGTTTGACATCAGGCGGTACCTCTAGCGATCTTGCGGCTCGTTTTATACGGCAATACAAATCATCAAATGCCATGAGCGGTTGATAATTAATAACATATTTAGGATTCAATTTAGATTCTAAAGTATTTATTTTATCTAACATAGTTTCGAAATCTGAGCGTAATTTGTCAACTGTTTCGATCTCACACAAGAATGTTTCTCTTTCATATTCACTAGAAAGATTATGAGTCCTATCTGTAATACTTTGTATGCGAGAAAACATTAAATCCTTTTTAGCGAGTAACAGGGGTAACTGATTGACATCCGACATGATGAACAACCTATAAATACAAAAACTTGTTTGTACTAATAAATATATAAGAAAGCGGTGCGGTGGAGAACAGATAAATACCTACACAAGTTACGTGCGGTACGGTGCGGTGCGGTGCGGTGCGGTGCGGTGCAATGAGAGCCGTACACAATGTACTTACAATTAAAATACGAAATAATAAACCACAACGTACTCGTGATAAGAATCTGTCAAATATTTATATTAAACAAAGCGATGTCTGTTTATTACAGCGTAAGCAATGTCTTGTTTATTACAGCGAACTAAACTCAAAGTCTATGCCGCTAACCTATTCAATAGTAGACCGGTAGAAAGCGATAATATTAAGCTATAATATCGTATGCGTCTCAGCCTATCCTAAGGGGGCCTGAGGATATCAATATGTAGGTAGATAGACTACCTACAATGGCGCGAAAGTAATTGATAACTACGAATATAAATGCGGTGACTACAAAAATAAAGTTGTTTTACCTATAGTTAGGTTAAAACAATGCGGGAGTATTACAACAAATCGTAAATACCTACTATTACTTACGATGCGAAATTGAGTTGACACGGAATTTGATATGAATCTATCAGGTAGTTGTACCTACATGTACCTACGAGATTCTAGAAACATCGATATAACGAAATAAAGAAAATGATGTAGTAAAATACAAATTAATTGTATGCGTTTGTACGAAATATACCTAGAAATAAAATATCTAGTGTGGTTTAACCAAATAATTACAATATTCGGCTCGAAATGGACCACTAAAATAATGGCGGCGCGGGTGAAATAAATATTGTTTGATTTTGATTTAAGTGGACTGTATCTAAATAATCTGACGGGTACGTGGATTGACACGATACACTGTTAGGTTGGTGATTGAGAACTGCTTGTGAGGATGGAACACAAAGAAAGACAGTTCTGGTAAGGAAGGAGGCACAGTACCTTTGAATTGTAGGTTGCAGTGCGGCGGCTATCGGTGTCTCCAGGTCCCAGCTACTTGCTTCACAACAATGGCACAAACACAATGGTCTTAAACACACTAGAGCGATGCGGTGGATTAAAATGTTTAGTAATTATCACGAATTACAAAAAACTTGATCTTAAGCGCGATCAAGGCGGGAATTCAATGTCAACTTCAGCGTTCAATTTAACAGTGACGCGCGAGCGCGATATGTCACTTTCGATACAAGCGAATCTTCTCGCTCGCACTTAAAACAAAGGTATGTGCGGGAATAGGAGAGGATAAAGGAATTAGTGTAGTGCCAATCCTTAGAAAATTAACGTTTCGTACCACGCTAAATTATTTATTTGAACAAACTATTACTAATAATAATTATACAATGATAAACAAAAATGTAATGTTATATGGCGCAACCATATGCTGTATTAACACATAAGATATTTTTACTACAATTCACGTTTGTAGCACCATGAGATAGTGTTGGTCAAAAATAATTAATATTTCATTCTTTTTTCCAGAACCAACCACAGAAATCATCGGTGGACCAGATCTCTACATTGATAGAGGGAGCACTATAAATTTAACATGTGTGGTTCTGTATTCGCCGGAACCACCTGCGTATATTTTTTGGAATCACAATGACGCGGTAATTATTATTTTTAATTAGACTATCTCATACTGCGATTTGATATCGATCCTGCATATAATTTGTCTAACTCATTCACTGTTCAAGACCTGTGTCTGTGGAACTCTCTACTATTCGCATGTTTTTTCTGATACCTTCCAATAAGTACATACGTACATATGTTTAAGTTTCTATATTATGTAAATCTATTTATTCTTTTAATAAATAGTGTATTTATGTACGTCTGCTATCTTTTTATGTACGTAATTTCTGTTTCAGATTATCTGTAAAATATGACTTAGAGAATTGTTGTTTTTATTTTCCTTATTGTTTTTTTTTAATATGCTTGTATTTTTTTCTGTGCACATTTAATATTTTATTATTATTGTAAATTGCTAACTTGATTCTCTATAAAACTAATTATACTATAAACACCTAAATTAAGCTAATCCCAATGATAGATATAGTGTTACCCATTAGTTTTTCATGTACAATGTATATCCAACTACATATGAATTCGTCAAGTATTCCGTTCACGACGCGTCGACAGTTGACAATTATTCTGACTATCCCATTTCGAACAATAGCCGTGAATGTTATTGCATGAATTAAGTTTCATATCAGAGATAATCATAATTAATAAAATCATAGAAGAGCACTCAGCATTGTCTGTAATCTTGTACTGTATTATAGTCAGGAGATATAAACTATTTTTTATATATTATACAGATTATAAGCTACGATTCCCCAAGAGGTGGAGTGTCGGTAGTCACAGAAAAGGGGGAGACAACTACGTCGTTCCTCCTCATCCAGCAGGCCAGACCTTCGGACTCAGGGACTTACCAGTGTAACCCAAGCAACGCGCAGTCCAAGAGCGTTGTAGTACATGTACTTAATGGTGAGTAAAATCCACTTTATATCCATGATTTAATGTACCTGATAACTACAAAATGAGTAATTTAGAGTCAGAAATTCAATTAAGTTAAAATTAAAATAATATAGGCATGTTACTATTAAAGACGAATGTTTAACAGTCTAACGGTATTTGAAATGAAATAAGACATTTTGAATGAAGATTTTATTTTTTACTAAGAAATATTTTTTAACAGATGAGACCGTGTCTATAGCCATATACACTTGTATAGCATAACCATAATACAGCAAATTGTTTCATATATATTTTTTGTCTTGAGGACAAACCCTAAGTTAATATACAATATATATATTATTTATGGTATTGTATACAATATTGTATTGTATATAAATTCAAGCAAATGTATCTAATTTTATCCGAATGGATAGTTATCATTAGTTATTTCTAATAATAATAATGTTTTACACAATGCTACCTTGATAAATTTTACCAAGTACAATTGTATAGCTACAATTGTTTTAATTTTGCTAAAGTTCACATTGTTACTTCCTTTCGCATAATTAACAAGAATACATACGTTTATTAAAATTTGTTAGGTAGGTACGCTCTGTGAAAGTTTCCCTCAGTATTATTTAAGCGAGCGCAACTTTCAATGATTTGTGTATGGAGAATGTAGAACAAGAATATTATACAGATGTTATAAGATGTACTGGAGTGCGCAGGCAATCACGAAAACAATCGTCCATTAAATCTGCAATCATTTAAAATACTTGACAGCGCTATTCTTTAAAGACATCCCAATCTGGTTGACAAACGAGCTTAGTGAGATAGCGGAAAGGAAATACATTTTTAAAAATCTCAGGGAAGAACAAAAATTCTGGATAAAGCCCGTTAACATTAAAACAATGATAGTAATAAATCAAATTAATGAAACGCTTGTCGTAAATGGGTGCGTTAATAATTTTTATTCGCAACAGTGTTATAATTAGCTACGCCTGTCGCAAGGGAGCATCATAAATTTTTATATCTATGTGTTTATACGTTTCGGCTTTTATTCCCCATTTTGTGACCAGTCAGGCCTTTCAACAAATTATTAAATGCAAATTGTTGTCATTTATTATTACCTAGCCTAGCTCGCGATTTTATACCCGTTTCTGACCGTATATAGTTTTTGTTTTTAAATTAATTGGAATAAAATTATACATAGTGAAAATAGTGTAATTAGTGAAAATCACATTCAAAACAATTAAGCCTTTTCTGAAATTAGCGCTATAAATGGAACAAAAATTCTAATTGTAGTTATTTTTTATTCTACTATGTTCATAAAGTTTCTTAATTTTAATCTTCCGTGTAAAGCGATTATTTACATTTTTATTATATAGATATATTTATATTTGTTAAACATATACATATATGATGTATATGTTTAAACTTATGACATCAAGTTTACTAATTACGTTCTTCTTTCTGCCTTAGTAATAATTCTTATTGACCTATGTTCAAAATAATTGTAAGAATATTGCCCAGAGCAGTTTTAATTTTTGCCAAAGAAGCAAATTCGATTTTCCCTTTGTCAGGTGAATATCCGGCAGCAATGCAGCGAGGTGGACAGGCTTTCGCACCCACATCTCCAGCACACTGCCTGGTCCTGGCTACGTCACTCCTCATAACTCTTTCTTGACATCTACCAAGAATCGCGTCTATGTAAATATGAGAATTTTATAATTTAGCTATTTATAATGGTGCTTGTGATTGGAATATACAGTTGTCATTGAACATTAACTACTGCACAAATGTCATTGTAAGTGGTTAAATTTAATTACTCGCTATTTTATAGTGTGGGTTGTGTTATGTAAAATATAAATTTAATAAATCCCCGAGCAGGTAGCTGGAATGCTTGTTTCGTATAGAATTGTAAATAGTGTACCATAATGCCATTATGCATTTATTATTGTTATATTTAGTTTGATGAATATTTAATTGATCACTGTTAAGTTTCATAGCTCCAAACTACGAGCCCTCGTTAGTCTGTGAAAATGTATAGCTAGAAAATGAATATTAAATTAACAAAGATAAATAAATTCGATATATTTCTTACGGTACTTAAAGTAAATTTTGCTTTGGCAGAAACATCAGTGCATAGTCCTCTTGTTATAATAGAAACTATTTAAAAAGAGGATCGTTATAAAATCATTGAAAGAAACAAAGATATACACAGGAATGTATAAACAGCTGACAATACTATGTTAAAACACAAAATGTTTAGAAAATACAAGGATTGTATATATATTTTAATTACGAGTAAAGATATACGAATCACTCTATCTAGCTATACCGTATCTGTAATAAAATTGTAAATTGTAAGTAAGTAATAGTGGTGTTAATAATTTTGTAAATAATGTATCTAGAGGACTTATACAGGTTTCTAAAAAACCGGCAACAAATAGACTTATCGCCGAAAATATCAGTATTAGATTGTTTCGATGAAATAATTTGGCACTGTGAAAGTCGACTTGAAATATTGTAAGTAAAAAATGAAAAATGCATTGAAACCTGTCAATAAATTCCTCTTTGTAATTAAAATATTAAATAAATACAGACTAGATCATCTATATAAGTATAAAATTAGTAATGGAGAATATAAATTTTACAGACTAGTTAGAAAAGAATCTGATTTGAAATTACACGTTGTTTGTATTTAAATGTTCTTCCTGATGCATTAACTTTCCAATATTAGATAAATAAAGAGATTTTAATCCTAACGCTTCAGTTGTACCCATTCTTTATGATTCTTAAAAGAATGAACTTAATGCCTAATATAAATATTGTCTTTTGAAGAAAATTTAATTTTCTACATTTATTTTTATATTTATGAATAAAATATTTTGTTAGTTCGATGTAAAAGCTAGAAATCCCCCGTCCCGTTTTATTGCAAGAGATCTCATCTGCATAATGAGATTTAATGTATTATTGAAGTGCTTTCAAGACAGATGCTGTCGTTAAAAATAAAATAAATATTAGAATTGTTTATTTATTATTTATTGTAAATAACACGAGCTGTCGGTAATTCCTTTACAAAAACATGTAAATCGGTGTATTATAACTATTGAACTAAAACTATTTCACTGAAGTGTTTTACTTGAATTAGGGTATAAAATGACAGATCTTAATTAATATAACCAGTTATTATTATGTCAAAAGTTTATTATTGTATACAAGTAACAATAGTATTAAAACTTGTTGTATGTATTATGATACCTGATGATGCGGCACGCCGCGCAATATAAATTACATGTGTAATAAACATTATAAAGAAACAATAAAGTTTTAAAAAACAATTGCCTTTCTTTTACAGGATGCAGTAGACATTGTCTAGAGAAATATAGAGATACTTAAAATAACTTGCAATTCCCCTGGTGTTGTGGGTGCTCATGGGCGGCGGTAATCACTCACAATACTCAGGTGAGCTGCAAGCTCGTTTGTCCCCTATGTTATTAAAAAAATATGTCATATTAAAAATATATATCTATTAAAAACGAATATACGTATATCGATTAAATGAATGAGAATTTTTCTTGGGGGGGGTTAGAATATTAGAAATGGTATTCTAACAATTTATGTATCAGTTCAAATTCCACGTTTCTTCAATCGAAATCATCGCGGTTTACTCCTGCTGAATTCGTCAGGATGGGTTAACTGAACTGGTTTCTCATTAACGTATACTGTTAGCCAACACAGGTATAACATTATTAGTAACATTAATAATCCACATAAAAATATCTCAAATTAATATTTAACCGCTAATTCCTCTATGCAATAAGATAAGATGGACCGCAAAAGTAGCTTACGTAAATGCCTTTTAAATGTCAAATATAATAATATTTATAAAATATTCCATACCATGCCAGACAGTGTGACAATTGAACCAAGGTGCTAAGAAGAAACAAACAAAGTCACTTTCACATTTATATTCTTAAAAAAAGATAAGGAGACAAAGTCAGCTCTAATGAAGTGAATATTTTAGTGAGCAAACAATTTGTCTCTCATTAAGTACCAATTACGTCTTTCTATCTTTTACCTTAATGTAATTACGGAATAGTATTTTTTTGCTATTTAATTAGAAGATCAAATAAACTATCAGGCCATCTGATAGTAAATGGGAATCGTCTCACGTTCATTTATTCATTTCAAACATACAAATTTGAGTTGATGATTTGACATATCATACATTTTTGTTTGATTTCATAAAAACATACCAGATCAATTGTTGATTACATAAAAATTAAATAAAATAGATAGAGAAAACAAATTAAATACAAAAAGAAAATTTCAAGTCTAACATATGACAATTCTTTTTTATGATCTAGCGATTACCTACCTACTTACGTGACCTACATATATGTAATATATCACGGACATCAGCTCTTCATTGGACAGCATCACGGATATCACACATACATTATATGCATGTGTTAAAATTGCCATTCCCGAGGACTAATGTGTCATGTCTATGTACAATTCACATAAATCTCACCTAACAGTGCCTAAGTGGTATAGCGGTTTAGTACATCGCCTTACTTCTTATGGTGGCGGGTCCGATTCCTTGCACAGACATTTGTATTCAAGAGTATGATTATTTGTATTTACAAAAAGAAATATCTATATATTTATATCAGTTGTCTAGTACTCATAACACAAACTCTGCTTAACTTGGGACTAGATAGCAGTGTGTGATGTTTTTTTTTAAATATCTCATGATAATTCATCATGAGATATTAAAAAAAAATCTTTTAGTTGCAGCACAAGATACTAACTATATGGCTGGTAGAATAATTAGGTCAAATAGAAACCATACATAACTTTGTACCAAGTCTCCTTTTAGAATTATAAGTACGACAAATAACTATTAAAAAAAATGTTTAAAAATATAAACAAAATGTTTAACGGGCAAATAATGTATATTATAGATTCATACTGGTTCCTAGCAAACTTTCTGTTTACACATAAAAGTACGTAAAAGAAAAAAAAATGTCGGTAAAGAAAGTGGAAAACAAGAAGGGAAGGGCCGAGGCGCGTCTTATGAATACCTAATCGGGCTGGAGCGAGATGAAAGATGTGTTTCCTAATTCGTAAAGACTTATTTACATGCTACATCGGATACTTCACTGGAGGAAAATATTAAACGTTTCCTCACAGGACTTGATAAAACTATTTACATATTACAAACGTTGGACGATGTTATAAGAATTTATTGAGAAATATCAATATCATGATCTATAATAAATGTTAAATGTTATGGTATTCTATGTAATATAAATAAAAAATTACAATAATAAAAGTTTATAAATTGAAGTGAATAGGATAAATCACTAGTAGTTTAGCATTAAAACTAAATCTGGTGGAAAAACTAAAGTATATGTTAATAATTAAGGCAAGTCAAAAAACTGAGTTAATAATCAGAGATAATTTTCTTTTATACCAAAATTAATAATTTATATTCCGCTATACTGTTAAACTAAACTATATTAAATTTATTATATTTTTAATCGTTAAATACTAGACACAAAAGTTTTCAATGCTGTTGAAATTGAAACATATAAACTTTGCGATATATAAGACAGGGCAGCAAATCAGTAACTATGTCGTCAAAAAAACATATGTATAAACAAACTGAACCTATAACTTCGGAAATCCTGTAACTTTTTTATTTATAAACCAAAAAAATATATAATTAAAGCTTAATATAATACAATAAATAAAACCGCATAAAAATCGGTTAACGCGTTTCTAAAACATCGACAATTTTTCCAAAAAATGTAGATTTTGCGTTGATGATGACACCTAATAATTCTTCTCATATCATAAATTGCATTATTGGACCTATGTATAAATATTATTGCATTATCACCTATTTTGTTAAGAATACTTGACCTACTTGACATTAAGTAATCTGTACATACTTATCGGTTCATTCACAATATAATAACAAGAAGGGTTGCTAATACCCAATCCACGGCACTTAATACAGGCAAACATATTTAATAGGTTACACCACTACATGCGCAGTTCGCGTTTATAAATGTTTGCGTGTGGGCGTAATTATAGGGCTATCAGCAACACGCGGGGTAACGGAGGCAATCGAGCCAACAAACGATTGTCTTCCTAACTGTCTTAATACAATTGTTATCTATCATTAGATCAGATACAAATGATGTTCAAACATGATTAAATTATATTTGTAACAAAATTGTGCTTCTAAATTCAAATTATAATGCGATTGTTTTATCGTATCCGATCTATTGTCAAGTCCTATCTAGAATAAATAAAAATGGTAGGTGTCATTTATCATTTAATATAATGAAAAGAGCTGTACTTGAATACATTGTCTATTAATTAACACTCTAAATAACTGAAGCAACGAAGCTAACAAACGGTTGTTACAATATTAATTCTGAGTGGGAGTCACTTTCAGCGTTATATGTAGGTTTTAACTTTGAAGCTAAAAATTGTACAAAATATTATTCCCTACTAAAACTAATATAACGCTGAATAAATGTAAATAAATTGATAATTTAAGAACTGCTTCTAAATTCAAAATACGATGAGATTATTTTGTAATATCTCATCTACTATTAAGTCCTGTACATATTTCTTGTAATGTAATATTGTAATTTTAGATCTTTTTCAATACATTTTCATGGAAATGCCTCGAATTATTTTAATGAAAACAACCTGTACGAGCACGTTGAACTTTGATTATAATATTTTGCTTCTAAAATTTATTTATGAATGTGTATTCCCTGGAAAACGCTTACCAAATATTGTTCCCGTCTATTTTGCGATGGAATTAGTCACTGTAATTCAGTACATAAATTTCATATAAATTTATGTACTGCATATTGCAGATTTTTTGGAAAATGTATCTAAGAGTAATACAAAATAAATAAAATGTATGTTTTTTTCATAAAGATGACACTTAAGATATCATACAGATATACACAGACAATAACAGTTGTAGTTATATAAATAAATTGGCACACTTATAATTATTTCTGTACCTGTCTTTTTCAACTTATTCCTCTATCAGTTAGACCGATTTAGACAAAATTTGTGTGTAAAATTTCAATGATTTCCTGGATTGTTTGAAATTGGTAGGTGGTGCTACTTTTTTGGGCATGACGACGAGTCTAGAGTCGAGTATAGGGTCCACTGTATACATAACAGATAAAAAACGACAATATTTACTGAGAAAAATCAAACAATTTGTTACATTATTCCTTATAAAAAGTTTTAGTATCTTCCTATATTTAGCAGATATCAATTATACGCAAACTGCAAACTAACGCCCAAAGTTTCCTTATTGCGTATGTTTATAAGTAGTACGTCGGATATTTTATCATTATCGGATCTGATATTTTCAGCACGCACGAATAACACGAGCACCGAAATTACTGAGTGGCACACGATAGGGGGCGCGAAACGCGTCCATCAAACGACAGGGTGGTATTTAATCAACCCGTAACATCTGGGGATGCTATTTTTACTTTAGAACGAATTGAGTGTATATTTTATCAAAGATTCTCATCAATGTAAAGTGATATCTTTCGCAAATTTATTGTAAAACTATTTTATCTTAAAGGTAAGGTTCATGCACTGCGATTTAATCTTTTGTATTTCCCCTTCTATTATAGTGTTTATATAACAGTGTTCAGAAGTTTGAGATTTTATAATCAACTAATTTATGGAATGCTAGTATTTATTTATATTTTTATGTAATTGAAATAGTCAACAAGGTCATGACCCCCACATGATACCTCCGTGGTACCTCTCATCCCTTATTTACGATACCATGCCTTTCCGCACCTTGTAATTGCATTGCTTTATCTCCTACTACCTACTCGCCCCGGCTTCATACGGGTGTACATATAATATATATATAAACCTTCCTCTAGAATCACTCTATATATTTAAGAAAATCGCTTCAAAATCTGTTGCGTAGTTTTAAAGATTTAAGCATACATAGGGACAGACAGCGACAGCGACTTTGTTTTATACTATGTAATGAATTCAAACGAAAAAAGGCTTACAAGGAACAGGATATTGACGACTACATCATCAAACATTATATACAGCTATTCAGCTGAAGTCGACTCAATGCAAGGCTTTTGTACCTCGGGTCTCTACTAATATGTCTACCTTCCTGAAGGATGACTACTGGCTCAAGGGAGTATATCTAAGTGTATCTACGTCATCTTAGAAGACTTCTTGCTAACAGTGTCGTAACCATAAAAACTATTAT